TTAACAACATTTACTTATAAATATGTAGTTTTCCCAGTATTGACTCTGAGGAGGACCACCATAAAGAGGCAAGTGGTTTTCCACCATGGGATGCTGGCTCATCTTGTAGGATAGGCTGGAGGTAGAAAAACTCAGGAGCCTGGGGTCCTGGCCTGAAGTACGTCTAGTCTTTGTTCATCTCACCCCCGTTTTATTTTGGCCCTTAGTTAACCCCTCTCTAAAAACAGAAGGGATCGACTGGCAGGCTCTGAGGGTCAGTTCATAAACCCCAGTTTGAAGATTTGTTGACCTGTTTTGCATAGACTGGACTACTTTTACAGTTCCACAAGTTTAATCTTTTCATCATCAAAGATTGTTTTATTTTAAATATCAAGGAATTTGATGAATACTAATGTGATGGCTATGTGCCACGCACAAACCCTTGATTCCTGTGGCCACTGGGTGATTCTTTGAACTTACTGTGAACACTCATTGTTAAAGGCCTGTTTGCTGAGAATGCTATAATATAAATCTCTACTGCTTCTCTGCGGTGGTTTTAATTATCTTAGTCACCCATTATGCCCACCTTCTCCCAACCCCTACAAGCTAGGAGATTGAATTCATTCTTTCTCCACCTCTGTTTATGTTACCAGGTTAGGGTCAAAGCAGATTTTTTTATCTGAAATGTTCAAGTGGTTAGGGTAGGGTTACAATTCAGTTAGTTATTGGGGAAAGGAATTACTTTCTACTTTTCTAAGATGCGTGGTTCCTAATGATTTTCTCCCACTTGAGGGCTGGTGGTGGTTTACTTCTGTCATTTGTCAGTTCACCACATTTTGAAATAATGGCTTTAGGAATCCATTGCCATCAGAATGATTGACTTCTTGACATTATCCAGGTGCTTTTTCACATTTTCCCCTGGTTTCTCCTATTGCCAGTGGTGGAGTTTGCTTGCTGGCAGCAGTCTAGAAGAAAAGCAGCATGTAGTTTGAACTCCACAGCATGGGAGAGCTTTTGAAGATCAAAGACAAAGATGAGTCATGTTGCTGTTCTTCGGTATTTCTGCTTTGGTGTAGTTAATCACAGCTTTCCAAGGGGCAAATGGTAATAAGATCACTATGTCTAGATAGATTTATGATGTCTCTCTCACCATTCAGAGACTGAAAGTAGAATTGATAGTCTTTTTAATGTTACAGACACAAACTTCCCCTTCCTTCTTTCTCTCTAACCTCATTTTCTTTCCTCCCTCTCTATCCTTCCTTTCCCCCCTTTCCTTTGTGTTCCATTTTCCATCCCCCTCCTCAAAGTGTCTTAGATCTCCAACCTGAAATTGTCAAAATGCTAAGCTTGTAGTAGCTCTCACTTTCCAATATATAGACTCCATCTGCCTTTATGTCTGACTTGGCTGTTGTAGTGGATCCCTGCGACCTTTCTGGCCTTAACATGAAAAAAGTGATTTGCTAAATGCCATTTTTTCTTGTTTCTGTTCTTCCTTCCAGCAGCATGAAGCTTGGTTCCGTACCAGAGTTGACAGAGCATTAGCTTTTCTCTGAACCAGGCCTGCTTAAGTTTTTGCTTGATGGCTCCAGTTTTTTCTTGGCCTTGGATCCTCCCCAATGAACACTCAGAATGTTCCAGGCGAGATTATATTGTGTAGTACATTTAAAACTCTCTGCCTTCTTTAACTGTCATTTCCCATTGTTTTTGGAAAACAGAAAACATGGACAAGGAAAATGTTGTATTAGTCATTCCTCTTAGTCTGGGTTTCCCCTCCTAAGGAGTTCTAGTTGATGGGCCAGTGTACGTGTGTCCTTGCTGGGTGCTCTAATGATGGATTTGCCTGATGCTGCCCCAAGCACAAGTGGCATGTGGGGTGCTTGGGTATTGTTTCAGCTAGTAAAAGAGTAAGTACTTGGATAACACTGACCTGCTTCAGAGTCTGTTGTTTTCTTTGAATGACTCAGCTTTCTGTAATTCACATTTGGATTGGATTTTTTTTTTCCTGGACTCCATGTCATCATCTCTGCTCTCCAACTCTGTCTCCAGGTTGATGGGTAGCAGTACAGGGTTGATTTCTCTGTGTCCTTGTTTTTTCTGTCTCTTTCAGGGATTGCTTTTTACATTGGGATGATTTCTATGGTCAGGCAAAGGTACTTTTCCTTACAGGATTTTTTTAAATTTAGTTTTTAAACAGCCAGGAAGATACAATTTTAAAAAAAATTTTTTTGTTTTATATAACATAACTTGTTCTTTACATTTTAAAAATAGATGTAGAAAGGATGTGTTAAAAAAAATAGCTGCGTAGAAAGCACATATATGGATAAAGCAGTGATTAAAAAAATTTTTTCTTCTAAAGATTTTAAAAAGTCAGATCAAGAAAGTAAATGAATTTGGTTGTTTTATTGCTGAAACAGACATTTTGACGTCATTTGGCAGGAAAGCCAATATGGAAACATAGGATATTTTCTGACAAGCTATTATATAAAATGGGCAGACATTTGAATTATTTAACATCCCTTTTACCTTTTAGACATTTTTATTTATGGGGAAATCAATATCATTTTAAGATTTTCTCTTGGTGTGTTCATTTTTTATTTTAATTATTATTTTTATCAGATAATGCATTTACTTGGTTTAAAATTCAAATGCGTATAAAGAGTATACAATTGGAGACCTTTCTTTTGCCCTAGTCCTTCACAGGTTCATTTTATCACCAAAGAAGCAACCAATATTACCATTTCCTTGTGAATCTTTTCAGGGATATTTTAGGCCTACACAGGAAGATATGTTTGTGGGTAGGTATTCTCCCTTTTTACACATATGCTAGCATCATGAATACAGTTTAAATTTCATACATATCACCAAAAATATATATTTGCATTTGTGTTTCAATTCTGTGTGCTTGCAGGTGGTAAAGGTTTATCATATTTGATCTGTACAACTTAGAGCTTGCAATTTTCATGTAAAATTTTAGCCTAGTTTTCTCTATGGCCATAATTTTCCTACTTGAAAATGCGATTGTGAATTCTGCTAATACTGGTGATATTGTCCATTCTATTCTTGTTTATGATACTGTATTTTTTTTTTCTATTTTGTTGTAAGTAACATTTACCGCTCATTTTTTCAATCATAAAAGCAGCACTTGTTTATTCTAAAAATCTTAAAGAGGAAAAGATAAAGGGAAGAAAACCCCTACCACCCAGGGCAGCATCTGTTAATACTTGAGTGTGTATTACTCCAGTCTTTTTTTGTTAAATGCACTTGTATATTTGCATAATTTTCAACTTAGCTATAATTATATGTTACTTACTGTTTTGTATCCTGCACAATATGATGGTTTTTCTTTGTCATTAAATAGTCTTCTACATGAGATATTTTATCATTTAATGTCATTGAATATTTAATCAATATCCTGTTGTTGGCTATTTGTAGTGGTTTAGTGTATGAGCTTTGCAACCAAATAGCCATGAGTTTCAGTCTCTGGGGTAGCATCACCTAACGCAGTCCTGTCATGACCATTAAATGAGGTGATATATGTTAAGCATTTAGTGCAGTGCTTGGCACATTGTAAGAGCACAATCGATAACAGCAAACTACTGAGTCAGGGTTTCGGAAAATTAAGAACAGAGAGCAGTACACAATATGACAAATAAAACAAACTAGTGCTTGGTCCTGATAAGGCTGAGTGAGAGAGAGAAGGGGATGGGCAAAGTGAGCAGTGTGGTGGGGGGAGATACAGAGTGAGTTCTTATGAGGAAGAAGGCAGCCAGCCTTATTTCCCTTACACCCTCCACCTCCTAGTTGCTTTCAAAACCAGTCCAGCAAGATGATAGTCTATTGCTTGTCCCTCTTTAGAAAGTCTTTTTCACCCCCAGGTGCTTGGTTCCCCTGACTAGGATGTTCTGAGTCTGGAGGAAGTGGAAATGGCCTTGGGAAGGGGGAGTTGGGAGAGAACTCAACATCTCGTTTCCTTCTTTTCTGAGTTTCTTGGCACGTTTTTCATAACCAGGTAGGCTTCCCATGGGAGCTGGCAGGACATCTGAGGAGGATTTAATTTACTTTGACCCAAAAGAAACTAAAGAAAGGGCAAAGTATGCACCCTACCAGCAGCTTTTTAAAAACCCGAGTTTCTCTGAAAGTCTTAAACTTAAAGCTCAAAATTAAAGATTCTCAATCCCCTGAACTTATCTGTCTAACCTATAAGTTTGTTTGATCATCAGTTAGAAAGAAATGTTGGATGCCTTGCCTCTCTCAACATTTTTGAGTTCTGCAAATGAATGTCCAATTAATCCAGCATTGCAAACTGTTCTTTTTTTTTTTTTTTTTAATTCACTTTGACATATTTGCTTTTAAAAGCCAAGACTTAATTGAGGAGGTATTGGTGAATTCAGATATTGATTAAATTTAGATAATATTATAAAATGAGTTTATTTCTAATCCCAAAGGTAGTATATTTTGTTTAAACTTACCTTGAGAGATTTAAAGTGAAAGAGAGATTTGTTGTGATTTGTGTTACAGAGTGATACATTATATTTACTCATATCATAGTCAATACTTAGGCGATGAAGGATTTACCCTGGTATTAAATATTGAGTATGATCATAACAAAATGAAGCAGAAATGTTGCTTTATTAAAATTTATAGGCAAACTTTTAAAAAAGTAAACAACTACTTTTGCAAATGCAGCGCTATATTTTATTTATTTATTTATTTTGCACTTCATTCCTTTATTTTACTGATCTGGCAAAAGGGTTTAGTACAGCTATGCTCTGCCAGGCAACTAGAACATGATTCAGAAATCAGTGAAAGACATACTTGGACAAGACCAAGAGGCATTCACTGCTATGAAGCAAGGCGAGGAGGGATTCTAAAGCACACAGCAGGAAGCACTCCTGCCCCTCAGAGGTCATGGAGCTTATCCCATATTGGTATGAGGAATGGCTTAGCTTCTAATGACTACATGTGGGACTATTTCAACCACCACAAGAAACCCCAGAAAGGTTATTGTTTTGTATTAATTATATATATACTATACTTTCTTTTTTATATATATAAAAGTAAATGTAACACACAAACTAAATTTAGGATCTGTCCCAACCTTCTAGAGCCAGTTCCTCTGGGGCCAGGGAGGAAACAGTTGTCACATCACCATGCAGGTTACATTCGTCTTCCACTGGAATGACTATAGCCCCCAGGCAATGGCCTGACTGCAGAAGAATACAGGACTGGTTCCTGGGGGCAGACAGCCTCTCTTGCTTCTCTTCATTGGTCATGGCTTAGCATGATTCTTCCCCACAAGTCCTTAGTAAACAAAGCACTCAAAAAAACCCAACTCACTACCTTTAAACACTTTTGGATAAGGGGAACTTTTCCACAGCTTGGACTGAGAACTTGTGCCCTAGAAGTGCTACTCTGACTAGAATGTATGAAGGAAATGGGTGCAGGAGACAAAATGGCTAAAATGAAAATGGGAGCTACTGGTCCCCATCTGCAGCTACAACTCAAGATGCCTACAGATGTGGACAGTGTGACATGTGCAGGAGGGAGGGGCAAAGGGGCGAGACAGGCAGGGAACATGCTCCTGGGGACAATAGCTTGCCCTCTGGCTTTCACTTCTTGGCCTTGACCTGGGTAGCCACAGCTTCCATGGCTTTACGCACGGTCTCTTTATCTCCCAGGAGCTACATGGGATTGATGGGCTTCAAGTTCTTGTCCAATTCATAAACAATGGGAGTACCAGTCGGCAGGTTCAGCTCCATGATAGCCTCTTCAGAGAGACCCTCCAGATGCTTGACAATGCCCCAAAGACTGTTGCCATGGGCAGCAATCAGTACCCATTTCCCCTCCTTGATCTGGAGAACTATTTCTTCATTCCAGAAGGGCAGAGCTCTGGCAATAGTGTTCTTCAGACCCTCAAAGGAGGGTGTCTGATCTTTGAGGTCTGGATACCTGCGATCCTTACTGATGTTGCTGTAGAAAGGATGGTCAGGCTCCATTGGAGGTGGTGTGACATCATGGGAGCACCTCCAGATCTTTACCTGGGTCTCACCATGCTTTGTAGCAGTCTCTGCTTTACTGAGACCGGTGAGATCCCACTGAGGCGCTAAGTCCTCACTACTGGCAGCCACATCTGATCAATGGCACTTAGCACTGTACAGAGAGGTTCCGGATCGTTGTCTTCTGCATTGAGATGAAACACATGTGAAACCCATGGCCAGCATCTTGCAGTGCCTGCCCACCACACTTGGCCTCCTTGTGGCCTGCAGAGCTCAGGTCTACATTGCACCAGCCGCTGAAGCGGTTCTCCAGTTTCCACACGCTCTTGCCGTGCCAGATCAGCACCAGTTTGTAGGCGGCCATGGGTGGCAGGCTGGGGATGCGGCACCGACTGGGGTTCGCAGATTCCTGAGTGGCAGCCCGCCCCCTCCACTGCTCTGCGTGCTCGCGCTGCATGGCCCCGTGCTATATTTTTATACTATATTTTTCCTATGGTGGTATCGTTAAGTTTCCACTAATTTTAAATAATATTAAAACTAAGTACGTATTAACCGAAATAGGTAATTGAAAAAAAATCTGATTTTATATACATCCTCAGCAATAGTGTTGTCATCTCAGAAAAATTATCTACAAGTTTTTAAAACTTCTTCATGGAAAAGCAGTCAGTGCTTTATTCTTAGGAAAGTATTAAAGTTTTATTTTGTTTTTATAAGTCAGATTCCTTGATGCAGATGAAATCTGTTTTCCCCCCTTGTTCATTGAAGTCATAACAAGTGTTCAAGGCCACCTCTGTGGTTTTCATTTTTGCTACCTGATTCTTGATAAGCTGTTTATTCTAAGGACCAAACCAATTTAGCTTAGGATCCATTTCAGTCCTGTATATCCTAGAATGAAAATTCTGATCTTTACCCATTTTCATTGTCTCAGTCACTTTATCTTTTCTTCTCTTCCATCACTTTAGCAAGAGTAGCATTCCCAGTGTTAAAAAAAAAAAAAAAGATGGAATATTCCTTTACTGTTTGCACATATGCAAGACTCCTCATGCATTCTTTTGTTTGTTTGTTTAAGCTTGCTTTAAAAATACTTGATGAGCAGCTGAATGTCATTTTTAGTAGTTATAACCATTTGCTGTTGTTTACCATCTTGTTTTCTTAGTTCCCGACCTTGGACAGCTTTACAAACCTCTAATCTTCATCTTCTTTGTGACTAATCCTATTGTCTTCCACCTCAGGTGGTGTAGTTGCCAAATTTTTGGTCTGTTTCTTGGAATGTATGTACAACTATACTAGTTTTGTTACTTGAAAGGAAGTAGGAATATGTGGGCACTGAATGAAAATTAGTGGGTTGATTAGAAGCCTGTTGGAGAATTATATATAGGGAATCTAATCTCCCTTATTCATACTAACATGTGTCACTGCTTTTTAGGAATGATGTTAACTAATGTTACCTTAGAAATCTTAGAACCTACCTTTTTTTTTTTTTTTTTTTTTTTAGACTGAGTTTTACTCTTGCTACCTAGGCTGGCGTGTAGTGACATGATCTCGGCTCACTACAACCTCCGCCTCCCGAGTTCAAGCGATTCTCATGCCTCAACCTCCTGAGTAGCTGGGATTACAGATATGTGCCACCATGCCCAGCTAATTTTTTATATTTTTAGTAGAGGGGAGATTTCACCGACCAATACGATGAAATCTCGTCCCTACTAAAAATACAAAAATACAGGCTGGTCTCAAACTCCTGACCTCAGGTAATCCGCCCACCCCAGACCCTCAAAGTGCTGGGATTACAGGTGTGAGCCATTGCGCCTGGCCAGAACATACCTGAACCATGAATATCTTCGTGTTTCTTCTGTGGTCATTTTTTTCTGATTATAAAAGCAATATATGTTTATTATAATAAGTTTGGCAAGTATAAAGGAAAAATAAAAGTAATTCAAATAGCAGTTTAGGGTATTTTCTTTCACTTATACATTTATATTCTAATCTGTGTCTGTGTGTCGTTTTTTAAAATTGACAATGGAGACCAGGCGTGGTGGCTCACCCCTGTAATCCCAGGAGTTTGATACAAGCCTGACCAACATGGCGAAACCCCATCTCTATGAAAAATACAAAAATTAGCTGGGTGTGGTGGCAGGCACCTGTAATCCCAGCTACTCGGAGGCTAAGGCAAGAGAATTGCTTGCACCAGGAGGCAGAGGTTGCAGTAAGCCAAGATCACACCACTGCATTCCAGCCTGGACAACAAGAGCAAAAATCAGTCTCAAAAATAAAATAAAATTGACAGTGGAGCCTGAACGTCTCCCTACATCCTTAAATAAACTTTTATGTGTTGATTTTAATGGCTTTATGTTATTTTATCCCATGAGTGTATAATTTATTTAACTGGTGTATGTTCATATTAATTTTTTTGAACTATGGTAATGTGGTTTTATTTTATGTTTTAATAAGCCATACTGTGTATTAGTATCAGCTAGATCTAAGTATCACTAAGCCCTGCAAAATCAGTCATCTACATTTTGGAGAATGTAAAAGTTCGAAGAGTTAAAGATAAAAATTTTCTATGTCTACTTACTGACAGTGTTGAGCACTTTCTTAGACAGGATTTGGTCACTTAAGAAGCCTAATAGCTTTTTCCCATCCTTTTAAGTCCTTGTATTTTATCTCATTTAAAAAGTCAACCTTTTTTGGTTCCTGGGATTTTAATTCTCTCATTTTAACTTTAATTTCATTCCATTTTTTAATCTTAAATACCATTTAGCCTAGGTAAATGGTATTTTTAATCTTAAATACCATTTAGTCTTAATGATTAATTTCTTAATCCCTTATTTAAAAACAACATAGCAACAAATACTCCATTTTTTAAGTATTTAAAATTTTTGATGTGCTTTTATAGAGATCAGCAAGAGCTATAGCTATAGGGTAGGTGGTTTTTGAGAGAGCCAGAGTCATTAACAGATATATCAGCCTTCTTGCCAACTACACTCTTAGCTCTCTCCCTGTGTCATTCATTTCTTTTAAAGGGTAGCTTCTAAAAGAATTCCAACTTGGAAGGCCCTTGGGCTGGCCCTTCCAGGCTGAAGTTCAATCCAAGCATAAAATAGACTTTCTTTATTGAAATGATATTGATACTGTACCTTTTACTGTGGTTTCCTGTCCTCATACTTTAGATATTATTCTGATTTTTAGAATCTTAGTTAAAATTCTTTTATTAACTAGATGTTTATACTTGGGCAAGTCATGTAACTTCTGAATCCATTTTATATCATAGTGCATGCTTGCTCTAGGTGATAACTGTGGCGAGTTTCATTCTGATTTAAAATAAAACTTTTATTTTAGTTTATCCCTTAAAAGCTCCAATTAACAGTTTGGAATTTAAATTGAAATCTTCTAATAATTAAATTATTAAAAATTTAAATATTAATTATTTTTAAAAATTAATTTTTCCCATACAGATACATTTTGTTTTTACCCTTTTATAATCTAGCCTAATTGCAAAATATATGACTTGGCAATTTATCTTTTATGTCTCTTTAAACGAACCCTTTTCATAATTTGGGGGCAAATTGTTTAACTTCTGTGAATCATTAATAACCCTTGTATTGTCATTGTAGATGTTATTGGTGTATCTTTCCATGGCTCCCCAGCCCTATTAACTATAGGATGTTCTTCTAGACTTTTTAACCCCAGACTTATCACTGAATATTACTCAATTTATTCTATTCTTATGTTTATCATGATGCATATTCACAGGAATTATAGCAGATGTCACTAATCACAGATTCATTTTATTAGATCTGAGATGACATTTCATTTTATAACCTTCTGTCAGTTTGAACCATTTATTATGCAGGTTTTATGAACGAGTGTATCCTTTTGTTCTCAACATGCTTATGCACCTTGGTTTGTCTTTTAGAGAGAAAAATAAAGGAATAGTATATTATGCACCTATTTTTAATATTTCAGATATAATAGATATAACTAATTAACCTGAAATGTAGTTGTTCCTTAATACATTTATTTGCATTACTATTCTGTTTGGTGTCTTTAATAACTTATACAGTTAGCATTTTTCTTACTATTTTTCTAATGTAGCAAGTGTTTTTTTGTTTGTTTGTTTGTTTTTTAAAAGATGGAGTTTCACTCTTGTGGCCCAGGCTGGAGTGCAGTGTTGGGCTCTCGGCTCACTGCATCCTTCAGCTCCTGGGTTCAAGTGATTCTCCTGCCTCAGCCTCCCAAGTAGCTGGGATTACAGGCACACACCACTATGCCTGGCTAATTTTGGTATTTTTAGTAGAGATGGGGTTTCACCTTGTTGGTCAGGCTGGTCTCAAACTCCTGACCTCAGCTGATCTGCCCGCTTTGGCCTCCCACAGTGCTAGGATTACAAGTGTGAGCCACTGCACCTGGCCGCAAATTTATTTCTATTTTCTATACCTTCTGGTTGTTCTGATATATTCTCTGTATGTAGTGGGCCTTTGGATCATTCTTTTACTTTTTGTTTTGAGATTGTTTGACCACCCTCATTTAGAGTGATTTGTGTGAAGATCTTGGACAGCAATTACAGTAAAGTCTTGTCTGTAGTTGGACACCTCATTTGAGTATTTTCTAGTGTTTGAAGGTTGTTCCTTTTATATAATCTTGGTTATTGTATTGGGATGCTTCTCTTACTGCCTGGGCGTTTTCTCCAGAACTGCTAGAAATTTTGGCTTTGTTCTTCATCTCTGTAGAGTTGTCTAAAATTTTCTGGAAATTCTATAGTGTCAGAAAAAATATCATCACTGTCTTCTTGGGCTGGTCTTTTGACGACCAAGAAAGTAAATTTATAGCTCAAAATGTTATCTCGAGAGCAAAGCAAAATCTATTCTTGGGGTATTGACTTACCTCCTGGGCTAAATGACCCAAAGACTTTTCTTTAATGGCACAAAAATAAAAAAAAATTTCCATATTAAATCATGGAGCAGAGCTCCCTGTGTCATTTTTTGTTTATTGCTTCACTACTGTCTTGTAGAAGAATGTATCATTAGTTTTCCATCTGACCTCTTAGACAAGAGAAGTCAGGTTAGCTGATCTGAAGAGCATCACACAGGAAGTACTACAGGTGATGCATCAGGGAGAGATTTGTTGCTGTGTATACTAGCAATACATTCAAACAGGCTATGTATTATTAAGAGGAGAGTCCTTAAAACTCAAATTACAGTCTGATTCCTTTGAATGAGTATGTGCCAGGAATCTTGGAAGCAAATGCAGCAGGTGAGGGAAAAGCCTGTAGGGATCCCCCAACCCCTCCCCTGCATAGTTTATAACTGTGTCTTGTTTGCATCCTGAACAGTGGCTATACTCTTCATCTGGAGCAAAGGACCTGCT